ATTCCTTGATGCTGGGATGAGAGAAGACAGTGGTCTTCTAACAAACAGAAAATGAAATACTCTCATCACAGCTAAATGTACTTTAGTTCTTTCTAAATAAAAGGCCCTTGCCAACTAAGGCAGATACCCATGTTTTTGAGACATAAAAAGGTACTTGAGTATATAGGGAAGTGGGGTGATGTGCGTAGAATGTGGTGATCATCACACCATGTGAAAAATCGGTGCCATTTATGTAAACATGTTTTTTTGGTAGATGGCCTGTGGCATGTCAGGGGGATCTCCAGGACAGGTATGGAGCAAGAGGTTTCAGTTGTCAGCCAGCAAGAAGCCACGCCTGGAGCTGCAGTGGCCAAATACCCACATGACCTAGTCGACCCTTGTTCTGTGAGGAGATGGGAAATGGTGGAAAGGGCCATTGTCATCATTTGGAGGAGGTAAGGATACCAGCTCTGTCTAGGCCAACTGAATGCTACTTGAATGCCTGGGCTCTGGCCTGTTTTACCTTGAGGAGTACACGATAGAGAAGTGATAGTGGTGGAAAAGCATATGAGGGGGCATATCCCACTTTCTTATGACGGCGTCCCCTAAGGATTAAGGGCCAATACTAGCTTGAGAGCAGTAATGGGGGCATTTGGCATTGGTGCTGGTTGCAAATACATCTATTGTCGGGTATCCCCAGTTTTTAAATACTGGGACCAGCATTTTGGGATTGAGTTCCTACTTGTCCTTTAAAGCAAAATGCCTGCTCAGTTTGTCTTCCATACTATTGTCCTTGCTCAGCAAGTAGGTGGCTCTCCTATGAACGCTGTGAGGAGTGCACCACTTCTAGAGTTGAACCGATCTGAGCATAGCAGGTAACAGCTGGTTCCATCCTGACGATTTATGTAGTGCAGGTCTGTACCTTTCTGTTCTGAATCAAAGGAAGAACGTGTTGACACACATTGCACCATACGAATCAAAGGAAGAACGTGTTGACACACGTTGCACATCTCTCTGAGTTCTAGGAGAGTTCTATGAAGCCTGGATTCCTCTGGGGACCACCATGCTTGGACAGTATGGTGGTTGATGTGGCTGCCCCAGCCAAGAAGGGAAGCATCTGTAGTGATTGTTACTGATGGTGGTTCGGCATGAAAAGGGACATCTTGCAAAGGTTGTGTTGATTTGTTCACTACGATAGTGACTGTTATTGTGGCTGGCATAGCTAGCTGCTTGTTGACATGGTGAAAGTGTGGTCTGTAGACTGTAACCATGGCTAGAGTGGGCTTGTGTGTAGCCAAGCAAGTTGGACTATGAATGTAAACGCTGCCATGTGGCCTAGGAGTTGTAGACAGTTTTGCTGTGACTTGCGGGCTGTTCTGCACTGTTGCTACATGATCTGTGAGCACTATAAACCTTTGATGGGGAAGTGATGCTGTGGCAGATATGCAATCTAGGTGAGTGCCGATGAATTCCTACTGTTGCATTGGGGTTAGTGTACACTTTTGGAGATTTAGCTGCAGGACAAGCTTGTTGAAGAAGGTTCTAGTAATGGTGACTGCTTGTTGTGTGTGTCTGTAGGTTGACCCTTTCAGAAGGCAATCATGGGGTATGGGGAAATGACAACTCCTAACCTGTGGCGGTATGCAGCTGCCTGGACTTTGGAAAGAAATGAAAGTGGCCGTGGAAGGGCCAAGTGGAAGGACTCTGTGCTGGAAATGGTATCGTCTGTGTACCAGGTGTATTGAGATATAAAAATATGCATCCTGTAGGTCAAGGGTCAACCACCTCTCCAAGGCAGGCATTAGTGTGGCTAGTCACCATCTTGAAACGCTGTACAAATGGACCAGTTGAGGTTGCATAAATCGAGTCGCCATCCTCCCATTTTTTTGCTTGTAAGAAAATAGGGAGAGTAGAAGCCTTTCCCCTATATTGAGGTATGTGTTCTATTGCTCTGAGCTGCAGTAGGTGGCACAGTTACTGCATGAGAGCACCTTGTGAGAGGAGTCCCTGCAGAGGAATGGGGTGGGAGGTAAATGAATGGGAAAGGAAGGTAAGATGCAAAGGAGAGGCAATAACCCTTTCAGACAATTTCTAGCACCCATCTGTTTGTAGTGATGGTACTCTAGGCGGATGGAAGGATGCTAGGCAATTCCCATATGGTGTAGCAATGTTCCGATACTGCCTTGGAGCATTTGGGGACCTCAATTAACCCTTCAAAAGATTTATCTAGATCAGTGATCCCCAACGTTTTGGGGCTGCCAGGCACCTGGGGGTGGGGCCGCTCATACGCTGCACGTGCAGGGTCAGGGCCACGTGCCTGGGGTCGGGGCCAACCATGTGCTGCGCGCCCAGGGCCGGCACGTGCCGTGACCCCGGGCAGGGGCCGTCCAGGTGCCGTGCGCCTGGGGCCGGCACCGGCACGTGCCGTGTACCCAGGGCCAGAGCCGGACCCGGCATGTGCTGTGACCTTGGGCAGGGGCCGCCCGTGTGCCCGGCACCTTCTGCATGTCCAGGGGCGGGACCAGCCCAGATTGCTGCGCGGGCACGCATAAATGGCCCAGAGGGTGCCATGGCACTGATCTACTGATCTAGATGTTGAGTGTTGCAAAGGTGGTGGCTGGTCAGCAAGGCACCCATGTATAGTCTGCACCTGTTGTCATATCTTTGACGGGCGGGGAGTGTCATGTGAAAGGGGTAGTTTTGTACCTCTGATTAAAGAACCTCTCCTGTTTTCTCTTGGTTCCAGGCATGTGTAACCCCAGGGTTTTGAGGGTAGATCAGAAGTCCATCAAAATGCAAAGTGAGGCATCTGTGGATTTGGCGAAGAGCTTGGAACCTTCAAACAGCAGGTGTTAAACACTACCATGACAGCGATGGAGTGTGCTGCTATATCACTGAGTTTAATACATCCTAGAGTGCAGTGTATGAGATAGGGCACCCTCCCTGACATTTGCCTTGTACTGCTCTTATTTGGTGTCTGGCAAGCATTTAATAAATGACTGCATCTACTCACACTACTAGTGAAGTACACACACAATGCAAGTGATATAATTTGTAATCCTGAACTTGAGGTGGCTGATGAATATGCTTTCCTCTCAAACAAGTCCAAGTGCTTCCTACCATAGGGTGTAGTGTGCACAGCATTCTGCTTACCCCTTTAGTTTACTGCCTCCACAACTAAAGAATTTGGAGTGGGGAGAGAAAATAAGACATCTACTCCCTGTGGTGCTACATAATACTTTTTAAAAATGGGGCCCTCTGCAGGCTGGAAGGATCTTGGCCATGGTCTGTCATATGGTCTTAGCAGTATCCATCAAAGCACATAATACTTTTTAAAAATGGGGCCCTGTGCAGGCTGGAAGGATCGTGGGTTCATTGGTAGGGCCAGCTTAGTATTTTTTTAAAAATGCTTCCCCTATTGCTAATAACTCTATGAACAAACACACAAACAAATTTCTACAACTAATTACAGTTCTAACAAGGTATGGAGCATGACTGCAGGGTTCTGACTGAAGCCAACAATGGCAGAGAAGGAACTGAAGGGACAGTTAACTGCACATGGAAAGTAGCTGCTTCAAATGGCTCAAGCTGGGTGTTGTGTATGCAGCCTACTGAGAGCACTGCTATCATCATTCTCCACCTAAAGGCACAGCAGTGCCCAAACACGAAGGTGGAGCTCCTCGAAGAAGAATATCTAGTACCATTTCTTTGCGGGACCACTGCCAGTTCAATTAAATAATTTAGTTTGATCCTACTCTAATTGTCGAATTTCACTGAAATTAGTGAACTAGAGCATTCGATTGGCAGTTTAGGAATACAGCAAAATTTCTGAATTAAGGAAATTACAACCCATTCCTTGAGCAAAGTCCAGTGGTTTAGTTTGCATTTCTTTCCTCTGTCCCTGGCCTATTCAGGGAGAGACGAGACCAGGCATGGAGGAGAGAAAAAAATTTGCTCAGCAACTAAGAGTCTTCTGTATGCAGTTCAACAGAAAGCTGGCACCAAAGCTATAAGAACAAGCTAATTTCAGTAGCAAATGTATAGAAAACCGTTGCACTTGTGTTTTATGTCTTGAACTGAATAATTTTTGAATCGGTCCAATGCATTCTGCTGCTTAGTCTGGACAATTTTAAGAGCTGATGAACCTCTCTCACTTAAAGGCCACCTCACTCCCTTCTCTCTCTCCTCAAGTTCTCTGTATGCACCTGAAGGTGAAAGGCCTTTTCCACTAGCTATTTTTAAATGTAACATTTTATAGTTCAAGTGCCTGGCCCTGTAATGTTTGAAGACGGTTTCCACTCTCAGTTATGGTGTTGAATACTATTTTTTATTTTCATAGTCATGGTGACTAATTTACAGATGTAAACAGTTATCTCCTTTTGTGCAATTCAATACTGTCCACTAGCATTATTTCCATTCATGCACCTTTGAAGAACAGGATACTCTCAGATTTTTTTAAGCAATGTAATTTTTGTATATAGAAACCCAGAGTTAAACTTGATGCACCTTGATTAGTTATGTAAACAAAATCTAAAAAATTCCCCACAGAACAAATAACTTGGTTCCGTCACAGAAAGTTTATATATTTCTCCTGATTAATCTGAGGTTATTCTTGTCAGGAGAGAAGTGTGTGGCACATGGATCCATCAAGATAGGATGTAAATTCTACACCTCTTCATTAACAAAATCGTACATAATGCAATGCTTACAATCTGAATGCATGATAGAAAGCAGCTTTCAAGCTCAAATGGCAGCCATCGGCCAATCATTTATGGCATTATAGATACCTGTTACACACAGCATTACTTCAAAACCCTGAAGGATTGTGTATGAAATGTTTTCCAAGCAGTCATTTGGTTTCAAACCTCAGGAGAAAGACACAAGAGCTTGCATTTACCAATGTATGGTACCCTTAAGCTCTATGAAACCAATACAGGTTGTGTATTTCACAGTGACAGTTGCTGTAATGCCTTTTCTCACACAGTAGGATTGTGTTAGATGTTGCCCTTGGTTCATTGTCCTGGTGGTTTTCCCTTTTTTCACTTTAACTACATTTCATGAGCACTTCTCATGGTCTTCATTTAGCTGTTCATGAGTCCTTTCAGTATATCTTCAGAGAGCTCCAGTAGAGGGAGTTCAGGTGACGGAATGTCCAAGGGAGGAAGATTGGGTATTGGAATGTCCTTAGCCTTCCCTGCATTTGCTGCAAACTTCTGCCAAGTTGAAGCTGAAGTAGAAGCAGTTTCTGAATGCTGCTGTAGACCCCACAACTCTGACTTCTCCACAAAATCAGCATCCACATCCAACTCCTTATCTACTGGAACCTTTTGGAGTCTAATCCTTTCTGCTTTTAGCTGCTTATTTTCTTTCCTTAATCTCTCATTTTCAGCTACAAGAAATTCCACATGCCGTTTCAAATCTGCAATTTTGGTTGCCTGCTCCTCTATTATTGTTTTGTCATCTTTCGGGGCTTTGTTCCCAATACACACTTCTAACTGCTCCTCTCTTTTCTGAAGGAGAAATAATAGTGTATCTGGTTCCCTATCAAAGATACCCTGAGTTTCCTGGAGATGCTTATTTACAGAAGGACTGTATTTCTGAGCAACAGAAACCAGTACGTTTTGGTCTTCAGATTCTTCAGCTGATGGCTTATAAGAGGTCTGAAGATGTGGCGCTATATCCTTGTCTGCATTCTGTTGGGCTTTTAGCCTTTCCTCTCTCTTGGCCCTTTTCCACCTCTCCTGGATGAGCAATAACTGTTTCAGGTGACTATCCCTTTGTAATTCCAGTGATAATTGAGCCTGGACAGGAAAAAAAAAAAAAAAAAGATCAACTGAATTAACACAGAGGGTCTGATCCTGCAAACATTTGCAAGTACCTTTACAGACATGCTTAAATGTTTGCAAGAAAATCAGCATTTGAGCACTTCCTGAAGGGGGAATCTTTCTCTCTCTAGTTTCTGCAATACAGATTCTGGCATTAGGTCATCAAACTCAACATAACTGCAGTCTGCTTGTGAAATGGAAATGTTAAGGGTGACTACATTTAGACATCTAATTTCTTTCAATCCATATGTACATTATTGATGGGAGGAAGTTTAAATAGCTTGTGACAATGTACAAATGTAATTGGGGTGAGATTAGGGGCATCCTTAAGTGGGAGTGTTTACCAGTTGGGGTTAACCTGTAGGGGCTCACTAAGATATTCTGTCCATCCCAAAATGAACACTGTAAAATCTCGAGTATAATGAGCACCTATGTATAATGCGCATCTGCCTTTTAAAGGTCAGAATTCTTGAATAAACTAAACTCTTATCTATAATGCACACCCCCATTATACTCGAGATTTTATGGTATGCATATGAAGGAAGGGGCTCCCGCTTGCTGCGGGGCCCCCAACCCAGCCGAGATCACACCTTCTAGGGAGCGTCCCCCGTTCAGCTGCCGGTACTCCGAGCTCGCACTCCGCCCCCGCCCCTGCCGACCCCTTCCCCCCCTAGCCCAGCCCAGCCCATGCCTGCCGAGGGTGAATTTAAAAGTTTTTAAAAAACCTCCTATAGATGATGCGCACCCCGATTTTGAAGCTAAAAAACGGGACAAAAGTGCGCATTATGCTCAAGATTTTACGGTATTCTTTAACTTGCCCCAAAGATCATTCTCTATTCTTCATGATCTTCACAGCAGCTGAATCGGGGATGTCTGCAATAGAGCAGCTCAGGTGCTGCCGGGTTGGTCCCGCAGCGCCAAGGGGTGGTGCTACGGCACCAACCCAGCAGCACTCCAGCTGCTCTTGGGGACACCTGGGACAGAGCAGCTGGGGTACTGCCCGGTTGGTCCCGTAGCGCTGTCCCTCGGGGCTGCGGGGCCCACCCGGC